TTTTGCTGCTGATGAGAGCGATGAAGATGATGCAGACGAAGATGGTGCTGGTGCAGATGATGACAATGATGATAATTTTGTTGTTGTTGTTGTTGTTGTTGCTGTTGATGATGATACTAATGATGAGGATATCGTTGCAGATGATGACGGACAAAGTGAAGTTGTTGCTACATTTGTTGTTAGTGTTTTTATTGAGAATATTGTTGATGTAGCTGTTGGCAACAATGTTGTTGGTGTTGTTGTTGGAGCTAAAGTCGATGTCGACGTGAATGTAGTAGACAATGATGTCATCCTTTCTGCTGTCGTTGATGTTGCGGACGCCAGCGTCAAAGCCACGGACGCCAGCGTCAAAGTTACAGATGCGTGCAACGTTTTTGTTGATGTCGTTGATGGTGTTGGTGTTGTTGTTTTTTTGAAGTCGTTGTTGTTGTTGATGTTGTTGTTGATGTTATTGTTGTTTTGTCTGCGCAATCCCTCATCAATGGATTTAAGCGTGGTGTGTGATTGTGTGTTTGAAAGATGATCATTCAAGGAGTTTGCTGTGCTGGTCATTGTAGTGGTAACGTCGGTTGAAGGATTTGTAACAGTAGGAGTGAGAGTAATTCTACTGTCAATATTTGTGGCTTTAGTTGCGTTTTCATTAGTTGCAGCTGTTGTTTTTGTAATATTAGTAGTTGTTGTCGTTGCAGCTGCAGTTATCTTTGTAGCTGCAGTTGTTGTTGTTGACGTTGGTAGTGTCGATGCGATTGTTCTAGATGTCTCTGTCGAAACATTTCCGTCGTCAAACTCCTCCTTTAACAAGTCTGAAACTTGTGGAAGTTGTTGTTGTTGTTGTTGTGGCGGTGGATGTTGCGGAAGTTGTAATTGTGGTGTTGGTTGTTGTTGTGGTGGTAGTTCGACATCAACTTTCATCCGGTGAGATGGAATACTCGGAGTGGCTTGAACACGGAAGGATTCCACGCCCAACAGCCTGTTGAGACTCTTGTTCATAACGACGTACTTTGCTACAGTTCCTAGCTCTTTTTCATCGTGTGTTGCAGCTGATGTCGTGGCGACTGATGATGAAGATGAAGACGATGACGATGAGTGATTCTTTGTTGTTTGCTCCTTTTTAGAGTGTCTACCGAAGTAATGCGTGGGTTCGTTATCGGCATCATCGTCTTTCGCATCGCTATCAAGGACATCGGCTTCGTTACTATCCTCATTTTTCTCACCTTCGTAGAGGCAGACCGCATTTTGTTGGAAACACTCGACGACCTGACATTTTGAATTGATGTTTTTGCAGTTTCTGTTGTTGTTTTTGCTGCTGCTGGTGTTGTTGGTCCTCTGGCAGTGCTTGCTCATGAAGAGTTTTGGCTTCACGTTCAAACTCCTACAGACGTCACTTAGGAGATGACAACGCTTGAATCTATTTGTTTGTTTGTTTGCGTAATAACATCAGTGACATATATCATGAAAAATATCAATGGCAGACTGTAAAAAATATTATGCATAATAATTAGCATTAAGTAGTATTACACATTTTGCAAATAATAGCATTACATTAATAATGCCAAGAGGTTGTAATTGATTGATACGTTAACATTAACCAATATTACCATAGATAACATCATCACAAAGATAACATTAACCAAAATTACCATAGATAATATCATCACAAAGATTACATTAACCAAAATTACCGTAGATAACATCATCACAAAGATGACATTAACTAAATTACGATAAATGTAAAAGTTATCATCAGATCTGGATATTAAATATTGTTAGTCTACTTTGGACATCTGAGGAAAGTCGGGTAAATATATTCAGCATTAAATTTGGTCGTAGACAAACATCCATTCAAAGCATCGCTATATAGAATAAAATAATCTACTGTGAAATCTACGTGTGTTTGTGTGTGTGTGTGTGTGTGTTTGCGTGTCTCTTTGAATGTCAGTGTGTGTGTGCGTGCGTGTCTGAGTGAAAAAAAATGTGTAATTTTGAGTGTGATTTTAAATATAATATATGAAAAAAAAATGAATTGAATAATTCGTGATGTGTAGCATGTGGAATGTAACGTAAAGTGAAAATCTAACAAGAAAAAAAATCTCCTAACAAGAGACATGCCTTGTAAAGATTTTCAAATATACAATGGAAGTCAGTTTTTACTAGGCATTATAACAGCATCAGCATTAACAAATTAATCATTTGAATACATTAATTTGAAAAAATAAAGCGAAATAAAACAATAAAAACAAAGACATCAACAACATCAACTTGTGACAGTCTAATGTTTTTAAACAATGAACTTGCAACACTCCTAGCAACAACAAAACAACATGCAGGCCCGATATTAACAACCACCACACCACCACCAACAACGACAACAAATTTCATGACAATTTATTACTTACATTATCTACATCTCATAAATATGCGTACAAATAAATACAAAAAATACATGCATAACGTGTACACAAAAACGTGTACACATACGCGCACACACAAACACAGACACACACATATACACACAGGAACACACAAACACACGTGTATACACGCTCAGAGACACACGCACAGGCACATATGCACTCACCTGTCCGAGTGATTCGTTTGAATTTTGTAAACGGACAGTGATGGAGTCGGAAGAAGATCAAAAATAACATCACGTGACTTCAGTTTGAGATCGTCATCATCATCACCAACGTCAGCAGCTACAGCGGAAGTAGCATCGGAATTGTCGTCGTCATCATCATCAGGAGGTGGGTAAGATAAGATTTCTGTATAGTATGTGTATGTACGTACGTATGTATGTATGTGTGTGCGTGCGTGCGTGTCTGTGTGTGTATGTTAGTGGTCTTGCACAAACAGGTGTTTTGTAAGCTCCATCCAAGATACAAAAATAAATATATTTTTGAAGAATAATTGAAAGGGATTGTTTAATATATAATCTGTTAAATGGGTCTCATGATATGTCAACTATTTTTGAAATTAGTTCATTTAAAAACCATCAAGTTTCCTTGCCGGTTCGTCTAAATGTTTCTATACAGATTGGTTTGAATATTTTATTATTATCATTTAGAGTTGAATATTTAATATTTTTGAAGTCGGCAGCTTTCAATGCTGCTGTACCTACC